ATTATGTTGACAAAAGCAATGCTATATGTTAGCTTGACCCTAAATAAAACCTTAGATACTGGCTAGTAAGTTCTCTGTTGAAATCACTGAACTGAACACTAAAAGCCAGTTTGGAGGGGTCAGCAGCTTCAAACCTACAGAAAGCAGCTTTACATACCAACCGCGGGCAGCAAGTAAAGATCACTGTGTTTAAGCAGAAATTGCAGGAAGTGTGTGGGTGGCAATAGCCATCCTCCACACTAGAGTTTAGTGGAGGACACTGTGACCATTCCTGTGGCTGGTCCAGAAAAATATCTATGCCGTGGCGAGATACATTGCCAAGATGCATCCCTGCTTTCCAAGGGCTCAGCAGCTGGACTTGGGATGAGCTTCTCAGATTTGCCAGGGCCTGAAACAAAATTAGACGAGCCAGAAATGAAAGGTGAGATCTTGGACCAAGTACAATAGATCTTGGATCCTGTACAAAAGTCACAGAGATCAGATGTCACCCAGTGATTAGGGGAAGTTGGGATAATATCAAAGTGAAGGTAGGCTAGCTACCTTAAGAAAAAGAAAACTCCTTCAATTATAGCCCAGATCTACAAGTCAGAAGATTTAGTTTATACTCTTGACAAAGCTGAAAGCTTCCTGTGATATCTTAAGCAAACCAGTTTGCTCCTCGATCCAGCAGGACAGTAATTTACATAGTCTAGAGCTTTCCACTAACTGAAGTGCATAGACTGCTTGCAGCTCCCAAGGAGAAAAGTGCTCTTACCTTAAAACACAGCAACAAAATCCTCCCATCATCCATCTGCTGAGCACAGTGGGAACACTCTCGGTGGGGAACCACACAGAGCCAGCCCCCACTGATGTAAAACATATTTTAGTGCTTGCTACTTGGTCCCAGCGTACTGCTTCCTATCCCTTATAACCATCTCTATCCCATCACATTCTTCATGGATGGAAACTATTCATATCACTAGACTAGAAATAGCCAAGTAAACAGGAAAAAAGCCCAGAAGGTTTGCCAGCAGGTGCTAAGGGAGGGGAGAAGGCGACGGTGATCAGCAGCTTTGGCAGCCGTGTAAATGGTACCAAGCATGGCAATTTAACCACCTCCCTGTCGAGACATTCAGTACCACAGGGATTCATATTTAGAGAAGGCTTTCCAACACACTGTTGGCTCTTATCTCAACCCAGCATTGTACATGCTATTCATCACAGGCCATGACACAAATTATATCAGCATCAGCAGCAACCAGAGTAGCAGAATATTCTGCAAGAAAAAAGACAACCAAAAAAAACCCACCAATATTTACCATGAATAATGTCAGTTGTTCTACAGTTTCCAACTTCTAGTTAGGGTTATTTGTCTCTGAGGTAATGAAAGCACTTTGGGAATATCAGCTGGAAGGAGGACAGCATCCAGATGTATTTGACAGGAGTAAAAACCTATGTAAGCCCTACGTTTCTTGTCTAAAAGTCACCACCCCAGAATAGCTTGTGATCTAGTTATTTTTATTCAGAGAAGAGCCTGTGCCTTGAGTTTGGACCAGAGTCTAAATTCCGCTAGAGTTTCAGGTTTTTGCTGAAGCAGGATGCTCCATTCTGGCCCAGTTCGGAAACAGGATGACCAGTAAATTAAGGATCTCATTTAGAGCCAGGCTCAGACATTAGAGGTGGTCCATTTTTCCAGGTTTGTGTCATGAAATAAATGAACAGTTTTACATGAAAAGTAGGGTTTTTTCCTCAAGAAGGGAGAAATTTAGAGACTGTGTCCCCACTTACACATTTCAGAAAGGCCGCAGGTTGTTTTGTGGATGCTGGGAAGACTTTTGAGTCTCACCAGTCCTCAGAGGTTACCATTTGATAAAGGAGAGTACATTTCACTAGCTGAAAATCATAGTGGTGAGTACTAACAGCTCTCTCTCTGTTCAAGCACTATCAGCACACACACACATTTACAATTAGGCCACAGGCAGTATTATAGATTGCTCTGTCTGTGCATGCACCAAGGATTCTTTGGCAGTTTTCTTTATTTTGGGATGTGGAAACCCTGTAGGAATTACAGGATCTCTTAAAAACCACCTGCCCATTTTCTTCCTCCTTCCTCCCATTTATCAATGATCCCTTGAGTACAGGAGCTTTCTTCACTGCCCCAACTGGAAATTCTTAAGGATTTTATTATAACTCGCTGGTTCAGCTTTAACCACAGTGGTAGTAATGTAATAATCAATATGAATTTCTTGTAAGTGCTCTGTTAGTAATCTGGGAAATAATGATCTCTTAGTTACCTGGGCTTGTACCCCACTGTGTACCCATCCTACAGCCTTTGCTTACACAGGAGGCTGACACAGTTCCAAATACACCATTTTAGTTGCTCGTGTAACAAATAAATACTTGACACGTATTTAACACACATGCTTGGCACAAATGTAGAAGTGCACGTGCACACAAAACAAGAGTAATATAGTCTATTCCAGCAGATGCATCCAGTACCACATGTAGGAGGCAATGCAGGAACTGTTTGTGTTCCGTGGGAAAGAAGTGAGCCACCTTATCTCCTCTCCTTCTTTTCTAAAACTCAGGGTAAAGCAGCGCTAGTAAAAGCTCTCTCTTAAACATAAGGAATGTCAGCTGCATTAACAAGCACCACCTTTGCCTGTGTTTAGAACTATCTGAAAAGCTTCACCTGACAGATTAGGAGGACCTTGGACAATCTTTTCTAAGAGCAGAGCAAGGGATATAGGTGCCACCAGCAGAAGATTGGTAGCAAGCATCTGGAATGGCTGTAAAATTTCCAACCAGCTCAGTGGTTTGAAAATAAATGCCATCCACAGCCTTATGGAACTGAGCTGGTACATCTTCAGACATCCCTCACATAAATCTCTTGTACACTCAAGAGATTTATGATAAACACTTGCTCTTCCCTTAACCTCCAAAACCTTTTCCACCTGCTGAATAACTCAAGAGTCTTTCCTCTCACCCAGCCTGTTCAATATCTATATAAAGCCTCTGGAGAAGATTCAGTGGCACCATAGACTGACTTGTCAGCAGTACACATATGACACCCATCTCTACATTATCTTCACCTCCCATGCAAATAACACTATTACTCAACTCTTCAAGGGTAGACTAAGATCAGCAAATGAATGAAGCTGGCAGAAGCTGAATTGTCACAAGAGCTTGGGCTGATGGTATAGGAAAGTATTTGACACTTTGATAATGTCCATTGCTGGCATTAAGACTAACTGAAGATTTAGTGTTAATCTGAATTCCATCTTCCTGAAAGCACCACAACTCTTGCTGCAAAAGCCTCTGTCCTCCAGCAAAACTTCCAATCAGATAACTGAAATATTTGACTTGGCCTTTATGCTTGGTTCCTACAACCTAGTGGATTTAAAAATGACAACCCATGCAAGAATGCTTATGACCATTTACTCAGCAGCACAAGACCACCAAACAAGCTTAAGCTCTGTTCTTTGCTCTGCTGACTACTCAGTCACAGCTTAAATTCAAGGCTTTGCTCTTATTTTCAAAACCTTCATGACTTTAACAAAAATTGATTTAAGGGCATCCACACCTCTGTAAAGTGACACTGTTGAAACCTGACAGTTGCATTGCTCTGTAACACAATAAATACCCACTTTGGAGGGTGTGTGCACCAGGGACAGAGATTCCCTGCTGCCTAGGACACATCCTGCAAGAGACACCCATAAATGTCAGAAGGGCAGAACAAAAGAGAAACTCCAGTTTTTCAACCCAACCTTCATTTCCCTGTTCCAACTGTACCAAAACCATCAGCATGAACAAGAAGTCCATGACTGAGAGACTGGAGGAAGTCTGACTTCCAGGGGATTCCACTGGGAGTTCCCTGGTGTCTGATGAAAGGTGAGCTGAGCTGGTAGCATGTTGATGCTTCAGCACAAATAGGCTCTTCCATGTATTCATCTGCCCCCCTCTTTCAAAGTTACAGGAACTTCACTTTCAGATCTGTATTCTTTTGTCAACAGGCTCAAACTTTCAGGGAGATGAGAAGGCACATGGAATCACGTACACAGAGAGACTTAAACACATAGCATGAATTCACATGCTTTGTTTTACCAGGAAAGAGTTATTGGCAAAAGCACCCTATGTTAAAAAAAAAAAAGGAGAGGAAATGAGAAAGAGGAATGTCAAAGATGTCTTGTGTTCATTCTCATGAGCTCATAAAATGACTGGAAGCAGATAGATAAAGGTATACAGGAACATCTGAGGAGTCATTGCTTTCCAACACACCAGTAACAGCCAGCAACTCAGAACCTGGAGAGAGAATCGCACAAACATTTCCAAATGACACATGAGTCACTAATGATAATTAGAGCTGACAGAAATTTATTTCCTCCTAGAACAAACCCAAAGACTGCTCTTCAATTACATGAAATGCAAAACAAGGCAAAAAGTTGAGATACCACTGAAATGCACCTGAGTCTATATCCATAACTCACTGCTGCACAGGGAGGGGACCTTGTTTTTAGGCTGCACTCCCATGTTACTTTTTCATTTCCAGACCACTGCTCAGTTGCAATGTGTCTAACTATGTTTAAACCACCTTCCAAGGGAAGCAAAGCGGAGGTGCCCCAATAGTGTGAACCAACCACACACGTATCTGCACACTGTTCAGAACAAATGCCCTGACGATGCAGAATTTTCGTGATGCATCTAGCATTCCATGAATCCTCCAGCTGGTCTTGCCTGGGAGGAAGAATGTGCACGTATGAGCAGGGATACCGTTCAGAGGCACTGAAACAGGTTCATAATAAGTCATCCTGTTCTCTTCAGCACAAATATGCCCATATCAGGCGTTTTTTTCTGATGACAACTGGCAGTAACTTTGTGCATTTCAAATGCCAGGCAGGCAACTTTTCAAATGGTTAAAAGGTGTGTGAAGGTTGAAGAGCTTGGAAGTCTTGCCAAAGCTGATAAAACTTCACTGAAATGTTAAACAACAGTTTCCATAAAATTTTCACTGCAACAACCAGTCGACTTGAAATCAGCCTAAATTTATTCAGACCTTTGGGCTAATCTGACAATAAATAAGTGGCCAAGCAAACCATCAGAATTGAAACTTGGAATCACCAAAGAGGCCCACGCCAAGCCTCTGCCTTGGTGGGGTTATATCTTGCCAGGCTCTTCCAGTGCTTGATTCCAGCAGCAACATTTGGGCTGGCACATCATAACAGAGAGACAGCATTTTTGAGTTACAACTGAGAAAACAAGCAAAAAAAATATAAAAACAAACATTATGCCAGTTTAATGATTTGGTAAGACAGCTAGCATTGTCATGGAAGTGTCCACATTTTAGCGCAAACCATCCTCCTCCCCATTCTCTCCCAAAACTCTTATCTTCTTTTCTTAAACTGACAAGTCAGAAAACAGCCAGAGTGCTGCCTCCTTCTGCCTTGTATCTTCTGCCACGCTTGCACATGTGCTTATCCAGTAACAGGCATCACTAGTGAAATGGGATTACGTTCCACTGGTGAAGCGCATGAGCACAGCCCTGGGTGGGGCTCCTGGAGGATCAGCTCTTACTAAGGTGTCCAATTTATAATCTAGCAGGGCGAAGAGCAACTGGCTCTCAGAATGAATAGCTCTTCTGTCTCGCCATCTCCTGAGGCTGGCTGCTGGGCCGGCCCGCCTCATCCTTTTTTTTTTTTTTTTTTTTTTTTTTTTTCCCCTCTCTCTGTCTCTCTGATGTTGTTACTCTTTTCACTATGTTCTTGCTGTTTCCCAGACTGGAAATATAAAGAGGAAGGAAGGCAAGAAGCATCCACCCGTATCTGGTCACACACTGCAAACTGCAGCAAGACGAGCAAACGCTCTGCTAGCCTAACAGGCTATAAACCCTTGCTATTTACTTATTCCAAGAAAGTTTCGTTTCAGCCTGCTCTGGCCTTTGTGCCCAGCGGTGTCTTTAACAGGGATGCTCGGCCCAGGGCGGCACGGCGGTGCCGGGGGTGATGCTCTCTGTCCCCGCTGCCCTGTCCCTGTCCCCTGCGGCCGCTCGNCGGGCAGCACCTGCCGGGAGCGCCCGGGCGGCTCCGGCCGCCGATCCCGGCCCCGCTTCCAGCGGCAGTCCCTCACGGAGCCAGCGGCGGGACACCTCCTCCGCTGCAGAAACACCCCGCGGGAAGGCCTGGCGCGCCGCTTCTGCAAGGGCTGGTGCTGGCACACCCGAACATCTCTCTCTCTTTTCTCCAAAGCGGTTCTCTGGCCAAATACTCCCCCTGTCCCGGGAGGTTTGTCGCAGGGCCTCCCATCCCTCCAGGAGGCACGTTTAATAGATTTCCTTTCCATGGCGATGAACTTACCCAGCCCCTGACAAAGCACACATCTCCAGCGTGCTGCACTCAGGGAAGGGCTGCTCCTCGGGAGTGACTGCTCCTTGCTAGCCACTGTCCTCCTCGCTTTCTGTCTTTGTGCTTGCACTGTGTGGTGTAGAATGATTCTTTCCTCTTTGCAGCACTTAAACAAAAACGAAACAAAACCAAACAACAACCCTTAAATACTTTCTGGAAGTACCACCTGAAACTTTCCATCATTCCGTGCTTCCCCCCCTTGCCAAAGCAAAGTGAAAGGTGATAGCAGCAGCCACTTGATCAATCTCCGTCAGGGTCGGGGGCATCTGGCTCCCGTAAGATTTTTTATAGTAGGAGTCTGTTTCCAGGACCATTGGCTCCTCTGCAGCAGGATGCTGTTTTTCAGATCTGATTCAAGCTGAACTCCAAAAGACCACAGAGAAAGAAGAAGCAGGGAGTGTGCGCCTAAATTCCTGGAAGAGACACCCGAGCTGTTCCTGTAGCCTCCTGCCACCACACTCCATCCTCCCCAGCCCCTACAGCTGGTCCCAGCAATTGCCAGCACGTCAGGCTCTGAAGGCACGGGAAGTGGCCCGCAGCTGGCCTGGGGAGCCTGCCTGGTTTGAGCAGTGTTTCCAATTAATAGCCTGCTCAGCAGCCACATCGTGTTCTGTGAGAAATGCTAAGTGTCACTAGCAGTCCCTTGGTCCAAAATGTTTGGGGAGCCACTGTTCTGTCCCTAGCCTCACAGGGACTTTGCATCTGGGAGGAATGCCTGGGATGGAGAACACAAAAGGACAAGCTGGACTGGAGCACCCATTATGCCATTGAAAAAAATGAAAATAAGATGTCAACAACTTCTATGGGCCTAATTGTTTCTTCTCAAACAGATTGTTAGCTTATGTGAATCGGGGTAGCTTTACTGAGTTAACCAAAGAATGGAAGGGGGGAGGGGGATAGCCTTGGGATCAGAAAGGCAGAACACGGGTCTTTATCCCCATCACTTCCTGGCTACTGAGTAACATTAACTTACTGCCACCGCACCCAACCACCCCCCAAGAGACAGCAGCAAGAGAAATGAAGAGACAGAGGGCAGTAAGACTGCGTAAGTTTCTGCTAACACCTCCACACAAGGCCACCCGAAGGACCGGGCCTTGACTCTGCATCTCCTGCTCCTGCCCTTGCTGCTCAGCTCTACCATCAAACCTGAACCACACAAAACTAAACTGACTGCAAACCAGAAACCGTCATTTTCTGAGCTGGATTTCTCCCCTGAACTGGCCCACCTTACAGCCACATGCACTTTGGACCAGGTGTAAAGATCGTAACAAATGCTTTTTTCAGTATTTGAAGAGTACATCAGACTGCAGCCTGGTGAAACACTGGGAAATCCCACGGTGAGCCACAGACTAGGAAGCTGTACTTTAATTTCAGCAAAACAAAGTTCAGGCAGTGAGTGAGTGATGCAAACGCACCTAGTCAGATTTCTCCACTGGACCTTCAAGAGAAAAGAGGTAAAACATCAAGCACAAAGGGCAGCCTGACTTCTCCAAACACAAAATCAGGACAAGCCAAATCCTGTCCAATTGCACAACATTAAAGAGTGATTCTGTGCTCTCTTGCCTTGTGCTAAGGGAACAGCAATGTTCTGACCTGCAGTGATTTACGTGTAGCAAATTCGTGCCATAAACAAGTGAGAGGAACCAAAATCTCATGCCCTAATCCTTCAAAGCAAAACCAAATTCTTTATGGTCAGCAAGCCTGGTGATGAAGGAGGTAATGCTTATCCTTACTTGAATCCAATAAAAACATCCAAACAAGACAAACAATGCTCCAAGATCCTCTCTCCGCTACATTTGCAAATAATGTTAAAAAAAAGAATTAATCATTCCACATGCTTTAAAAAAATTAATTAATCTTGATGTATCCCCAGCTGGACAGGTGTTACTGCCTCCAGTGAACATATGAGCAAGCTGAGTAAGACAGACCTGGCCCTGTATTTTTAAGTAACATCTAATTTTCAGTGCACTTCTGGGTACAGGCAGTTTCTGTTAATTTTGGCTAGAGCTGTAAGTGATTAATACACATGTAAGACAGATTCTGGATATCTCAAGCTACAGGGCTAAAATTAAAGCCCATGCTTGAAAATGTGATCCTAAATGACTTGCTCTTGGCTGGGCAAGGCAGGGAATCTGCTGCAGGATCAGGAAAATAAGCCAAGTCTTTAGATTCCTTGGGGCTTGTCTCCACAAGAAACGTAGGTAAGAAACAAAATTGCAGCACGCCAGGAACATTCTCCTCAGGTGGACCCTTTGGTGTTCACTGCTTTCAAAGAGCAAATTTTAACCCTGACATAAATTCATCCCTTCCTCCACAAACACTGAGAGACACCCTTGTCGGTGCTTAGCACTGTCACTTGTTGCCACTTTCTAAACTGAGAGGTGCTCCTGGCAAGAGAAGGATGTGGTGGCTCCAAAGGTAGCAGTAAGAAAGCCACGGGTAAGGACTCACTTTGGTTTCAGCTTCCCCATGAAGATGTTTTGGTTTGCAATCAGCACTGAAGCAGCTTACCTGAGTTTCAAAGATGGGTGAGCTACCTCCCACTCAGCTCACTCAAGGTCCTGTGTACCCATTTTCAGCAGACATATGGATGATCTGAATAGCTGCCCACAGCTGGAGGACAATGCCAGCCCAAAGGAGGAGCTGTGTGGTTTCATGCTAGTACTAAGCAACAATTGTCTGCAATAAACCCTCTAAAGATAATTTAACAATGTCTGCACAGAGGACTTGGGCTACAGATGCATATCCTCCCAAGCTGAGGTGCTGCCTGAGAAGTCTATTGACCCAGCATCCCTTCAGGTCTGCTCTGCTCAGCTGTGCTTAAATGCTTCTCACAGTTTTTCAGGCTAAATGAGGTAGGTTAGAGGGGGCCCAGCATTTCAACATTACAAACTGCCACCAAATGACAGGAAGTGGTCAACCCACAGCTTATTCCCTGGATCTGAAGCAGCAGGAACCTCTGGCACCAAGGGAGAGCTAGAGACAGAAACTCCTGCCACAGCTTACATGAATGTCTGTGGCGTAAGTGCAGGGTAACAGTGTCCAAAAGTTCATCCTCTGGCTTGTCACATGCCAGCTTTCACATGGAAATGAGCCTGGTGCTAATGCATTAAGTCCTGGCTAACATTTAAAATGCTGTGGGCATAGCACTGCCATTATTTAAACTTTGAAATTGGTACGATATAGCTTAACTGGCAAAGATCAGTGTAGGCTAGGTCTGCCAAAACTGGTGGGTGCAAAGGAAGTGCCGCAGTGCCCTGTGCTGAGGATGGCAGCCAGCCACAGAGCAACCACCCTGTGGGTGCATGCACAACACAGGCAAGCCTGAGGTCACTTTATGGTTTTGGTGGACTTGAGAAGAAGAGGAGCACTTCAGGTTACAGACACACAGCCGTCCAGACTGTAGCAGGGCCCTTTGGTGTAGCTCCCCCTCATTCCCCACAAATCCAGAGAGAGATTGCTGTCCCGCAACACCAAGTCAACTGTTTGTGTAGCTGAGCTCCAAAGACTTCTTTTAAGGAGCTTTGGGTTAAAAAAGTCCCCACCATGCATTCTCCCTGAAATGCATGTCTTTTCTTTGAAGTGGATCATTTCACAGGACTGGCTTAAAGGGCAGCTAGACAAACAGCTGTATCAGCACAGCCGCTGAAGCAGTAACCTGGGGCAGCGGAGAAGGAGCCAGCCACAGCAGCCACCTCCCTCAGCTGACAGCTAAAGCTGGACACCTGTCTGTGACCCAGCTCTACCTATACTTTATAAAGTGTCTGTTTTGGTTTTGATTGGCTTTCTGGTGGGTATTTTTTTTCCTTACCTTTCCTAAGTAAATTAGACTTACGTAATTGTTCTTTCTGTCAGTTTCCCTGTAATCTGTTTCAAGTCTGCCGTCCCATTCTCAGTCAAATCTGAGAGCGTTTCAAACATAGCATCACCCTCTAAATCCATCAGTGTCTGGGTAGAGGCCCAAACTTGTGTCCTCTGCAAGGGGAAAAGCAGGCAAAACTCAGCTGCTACCCATTGCTGCTCTTCAGCTGACACACAGCTCTGTCCCGTGGCTTCAGAGGGACAGGGAGGGAGCTGAAGTGGTGAATTTAATGCTCATCATACAAGGCAAGGCTTTGTCACTGTAATTGCTCATGCACAGCCTGCCTTTATCCAGACTTTGAACCTTATGGCATGTAGACTTCAGTGTATACTCGTGTTTCAAAAGAAAGCATCCTGTCAGAAGTTCCTTCTCTGAGTCATTAAAACGTAGTTGGTACTTTTAAATCCACTCAGTGACTTCTGCATCGGGCTACTGTAAGATACATTGTCTTAACAACAAAAATCATACAGATATCCTTAGTGAAAAAAGGTGGTATTTACTTCTGTACAGGGGCTTATGTGTACCATTTGTGAAATACGATGACTGACACTGTATTTATACTGCTAAAATGCATTTTCTGGGGGGAGCTCAACACAGAGATTAATTTCACCTAACATGAGAGGGAAAAGGTAACTTGTCAACCAGATAGGTTATTCTCTGATCTATAAATCAGAGAGAATAACAATGCCTACTGTATTCCCGCCTGTTCCCACACACTCCTGCTTGTCATCGCAAGAGCTCTTTAGTGCCCTGAAATAAAGCTTGACAATAAAAACTAATTGAAAGTGTACTACAATCATTAACTTTTGGAGCTTCACAGTTTGCCCATCCTTAAATAACGCTGGTTATAAAATCCTGTTTGCACTACAATTCCTTGGCTCTGCGCCATGTAGCATGTAGAGAAATCAGCAATATGTGCAGCAGGGACTTCACTGGCTATAATATGAATGCACATAATAGACTTTCTTCTTCAGCTCAGCAGCAAAACACGGACTTCAGATCTAGAGACCAGTTATAGTCCCAGTGGTGTTTACTCCATGTAATTAGCAGTATCAAGTGTGTTGTCTTTTGGGTAGCCTGATTGTTTCCATATGCATGAGCACCTTCTGTGAACGAAGACAGGGCAAGAGGCAGACAGCACTTGAAGCACATAACGCTTGTGAGGCACACAGCGTTACGGGAAGCACATATGTTTTAAATACCTTATCTCTGCAATTAAGAAGAGTTTAGAAATTGGTCATATAAATCTTGGGAAATGGGGCCAGCAGAGAGAGAAAAAGACCTTCTTTCCAAGCAAGAACTTTGCCTGGGTAACTACTTGAACCCAGCTGCCGGAGATGGCGCAGACATCTCCCTGCTTGCTGATGGGAGAGCAGCATGAATCAGTAGCCCATGAATTGCTCCAGGAGGGAGAAGGCTGTTGATGCTGTGTTGGGGCCCGGAGGAAGATTGGGCTGGCATTCGAGGTGGGGCATGCCTGGGAATGCTGCACAACATTCATCTTAGGGGCACGTACTTGCTGAACTTCAAATTACTGAGAGAGATGGCTGAGGCAGAGTGAGGCCTTGCCTTTGCCTTGCAAAGAGGTGCATTTTTTTTACCTCAAGCTAGTGTTTCTGACCTGTCCCAAGGTAAAAAAGCAGCGAAGCCAAGCAACTTCAGCCTCATTGCAAGGCAAACCAGGCAAGGTCAAGTGGGGGCTGCTGCTGGACTCGCCTACATCAGCAGCAGTTACAGCAGGGTTTAAAAAAAAAAAAACAAAAAATCAGGAAAAAAATCCTTGAGCGCAGGAAAGACAGGCCCTAATGTCTGTTTTGAAAAAAGAAGTACGAAATAGGGGTTGCTTGGGCTTATTTATCCCTTGTTCTCCCTCCCCCTTTTACACCCCCAACATTGCCACATCTATCAGGCTCTCTCACCCCAACCCTCAGGCTTTTGCCTCGTGGCCGGCAGCATGGCTGGAAGCGGCAGGGAAGTGGGGAGAGACAAGGAGAGCCATTTCAATTGCAGCCTAGCTCCTCCTGCTCCCTTCTGTCCTCAGGATCCTCCACACGCCTCTTGTTACAGCAGGGCCCCTCTGCACCTCACCCTTGGTGACGGTGTGCCTCGAGGCACGCCTTGCTGATTGGGAAAGGTTCTCCCGAGACATTCCCTCGCACACCTATTTTTATGGCTGCAGTAGTTGCCTGAATAAAAGTAACTGTCTTGGGCTTCGTGCTCCCTTGTGCCATCCCAGCATCCCAGGACAGCCTCCCCTCCACACTCTTCTGTGCCTCCCAAAGCCTCCTACGTGTCCATCTGCTTCATCACTTTGCTAACAAGATTTCAGTATCTGTTCTGTAGCAAACCACTCAATCTATAACTGGGATTCACCACAGGAGAGTGCTTGACCAGGTTATTACAACTACTTGGTTGTCACCTTTGCTGCTGCAGATATGGCAAAGATTTAACCTTAAAACTTGCCTTGCAGTACAGAAAATACATCCTTGCAAAACACCTTTAAATTTGAGCAAGTGCAGCTAGGCTTATTGGCTGTACCAACTTGCATCACACAATTTCACCTGCCTTTCTCTGCTACCTGTAGAGAATATCAAAAAAAGCTCCCCAAGCAAGCTTTTAAATTAATAAATCTCCACTATAAAATACTACAACACAATATTACATGCAACAAATCCAGACAAAACGTGTCTTCTTGAAAATATCTTGCAGTTTGTGATTTGGATAGAATTCTGGAAGCCTAGTAAGAATAAAAATCTTTTATTGAAAAAAGGCATACTCTGCTCATGGTCATTAGTCAGCCTAGCAGCTTGTTTTAGTCATGTCCTCTGACATTGGGAATAAGGATGCTACTATTTCAACAATAAGCTATCAAACTGTTTTGAAAATAGTCACTGCATTTTAATTTCTTGAAAAGCTCTGAAAAGGCGAAAAATGCATTTGCAGCACAGCTACTGCTGCTTATTCAGAAGTGTACATTATTTCAATCTCAAGATTTGTTTATCTCAGTGAAAAATGCTGCACTAAAAATTAGTTTAGTAGTTTTTGTATCTATCACTGTTGACATTCTGCATTTATGATTTTCTCAGTGGTTCCTGCAAGGTTTTTTTTCTATTTTTTTCTTTTCTCATTTCCAGTTAAACGTCTGCCACTGACAAAAGCACTTCATAGCATGCAGTCACTGTCATTCATGGTCATGGCAGATTCAGGGAAGCCCAGTGTAATCACTCACATTTTCAGGGAGTGAAATAATCTATGTGCAATCTTGTGTCCTTGCAAACCTCCCTGCAGGTGTGTAACTCTTCCCTAGTGCAGAGGAAAGTTTAAAGATGCTTGAGGTAATGCTACCAGCTTAGTACTCGCAGCACACAGGACAGTGCATGGTATTTTAAAGCTTACATAAATAATAAATATGTTTTGTGGCCTTTTTATGTGTAAAATGTTAGGTTAATTGAGAAGTATGAACATTCAGTTGTTCAAATTTAATAATTAAAAACACAAATGTACTTCATACTGAGTACCTAGACCTCTGCTACATGCACATTTACATAGAGAGAGTATCTGGAAAACCACTGTTTTCGCTGTGATGGAAATAATATGCTGTTTATGTGTCATGTTATTTTGAGTCATTATTAATCTATTACTCAGCCAGGTTTGTAAATGTGGTACAGCACTAAACATTTAGGGTGACACTGAAGATTCTGGCCCTGGACTCCGCAGATGTAAGCATATGTGTAACATGTGCTGAAGTGCTTACAGGAATGGAGCAGAAATATGTATCAAGCCCAAACTTGAAAACAGGTGGGTTTAAGTTATACAAGGACAAAGAACAGTGAACTAGTTTTTAAGCAGACGCTTCTAGCATTCAGAAATTAAATGGCTCTTTTTGTTCCCATCTCCACCACCCTAAAAAAGAGCCCCAAAAAAGGGGTTGAGAGAGAAACACATGAAATCTAAGTCATAACCTTAAAACTGAGGCTCCTTTTCACCATGGAGGAGGTGGGAAATCACTTTTTTTTTCCTTTTTTTTTCTTTTCTTTTTTTCTTTTTATTTGCCAAGGGCTGCCTGTCCAGCATCAGCCCAGGTCCCCAGCCGGCAGGTGTCTAAAACTGTGGGACAGGAGCATTTCCTTGGCACAAACCAGGGCACTCCTGCAGGCTGGGCTCCACAGGAAGGAGCTGGTCATAGCTGGTATTTTGCAATAACAGAACTGAAAAATAAACATTAAAAAAAAAAAAAAAAGAGAGAAAGAAAGAAAAAAAAAGCTTCTGTTAGTGCATCTGGCGGCCACCACGGTGGGCTGGTGCGTGTGCCAGCAGCTGGGCTCCCCTGTGACCCCGGGAGTGCCCTCAGGCCCGGCACATCTGCATCCTCGGGGAGCTGCCCCTTCCAGGTCTCGGCGTGCAGGGAGCTCCCAAACCCAGCACCTGCCCAGGGACCCGGCGGTTCTGGGGACCACCGTCCTCCCTCCCTGCCTCAGGCGGGGCTGTGCACCCTGAAGGGAGCCAGGAAAGGCCGAGCCCGGGAGCCGGGGTGGCAGCCCCCGTCCCGGACCTCGTGAGCCCCTGCCCCATTCCAAAGGCGGGCAGCCCGGGGTGCCACCTGCCCCCGCCTTGCCTACACCCCTGCCCAAACACCAGGGCCTTGCCACGGCCTGGAGAGGCCTCGGCTGCCCACAGCGCAAGGCCGGGGATGAGCGGGCAGCCCCGCTGGCGGGATGAGGTGGGGGCAGTGTAGGCCCCGGCGTGGGGCGAAATCCCTCTCAGCTGCCCCAGGGAAAGGGAGTGTCCCTGCCAGGGGAACAGACGGAGCGCCCTCCTCTTACTC